TTCAGTTGTGGAAAACCCAGACGGATTGCCTTACCAATCTTGTTATTTTAGCTTCCATGTAACTTTTAGGAAAAGCTTAGAAAACAAAAGCAAACAATTTTTTTAGAAATCCTTTCTCTTAAGACTCTTTTTTCCAAGTGACTGAAGCCTAAAAAAGTTAGTGAAAACACAAGCAATTATATTGATCATATGCACATGTTCTGTCTTTAAAGTAATTGTTTTGTAAATATTACCATGGTTAAGTCATCATCTTAATAGAATGCCATCGGTTTAACGACATTTGATATATCTTGAACTTTGAACTTCGAACATTTTATAGTCTTTAATCACGAAGCATATGCCATCCTTAAGTCTTATCTGTCACACACCAGCACAGAGATGATTTGTATGTTCTCTCTCTCTCTCTCTCTCTCTCTCTCTCTCTGTGTGTGTGTGTGTGTGTGTGTGTGTGTCTGTGTGTGTGTGTGCGCATGTGTGAGGACACACAGTGAGTTCTGTGTCTTAGGTTAAAATTTCCTATATTCTGTTCTTTTATGTTTTATTTTTAGGACAAAAGCTTACTTTATCAATGCCATGAGTGATGTATTCCCTTGCAAAAAGATCCATCCAGCAGTGGTCCTGTCCCCATAATAAAGGCATGAGATTTTCACCTGAGCAGCCAATGGCTCCCTACTACCTGACTGTGCTGCAAGGGGCTAGAGTAAATGGAGATTGGGGAAGATGGGGGATCCATCTGAGTGGCTATGAGGAAGCCCTCACTGGTGCTGGATAAGGCTTTCTAGGTGTGGTCGGTGAGGGGAGGAATGCCCACACCCATGTAAGTAGCTCCCTGCCTAGGCTCTGCAGGGAAACTCAATGAATGCATTGGCTCCCCAGAGCCAACTTTGGTAGAATTGTCCCTCTGTTTGTCATTACAATCGTGGGAGGAGCATAGATGCCGCTTTACATCTCCCCATAGGAAGAATTTTAGCAACAACCACAGATAATCTGTCCTGGTTTGAATAAGAACGGTCTCTTTAGCAGTGGTTCTCAACCTTCCTAATGCTGCGACCCTTTAATAAAGTTCCTCGTGTTGTGGTGAATATAAAATTATTTTCATTGCTACGTCATAACTATAATTTTGTTACTGTTATGAATTATGATGGAAATATCTGATATGCAGGATATCTGATATGTGACTCCCAAAGGGGTGGCAATCCACAGGTTGAGAACTGCTACCCAATACTGCATATATGTGAATGCTTAATCACTGGGAAGCGGAACTGTTTGGGAAGGATTAGGAGGTGTGGCCTTGTTGGAGTAAATGTGGTCTTGTTGGAGGAGGTGGGTCACTTGGAGGAGTGGGCTTGTTGTTTCAAAAGCTCAAGCCAGACCCAATCTCTCTCTCTCTCTTCCCATGGATCATGATGTAGAGCTCTCAGTTCCTGCTCCAGTGCCATTCCTGGCTGCTTCTCACTATGATTAACACTCTAAAACTGTAAGCAAGCCCCTAGTTAAATGCTTTCAAGAGTAGCCTTGATCATGGTGTCTTCTTACAGCAAGAAAATAGTAACCAAGACATAATCTGTCTTTATTTAACCATTTCTAGAAAAAAATATAACTTTATAATTATACCCCTTTAAAAATATCTTACCTACTTAACTGTTTTCATTTTACTTTTGTAAATAAGAGTTAATACAAATTACATACAATACACACTATGTTAAATTAAGATTACCTGTATACATGTTGCTAAACCAACAACCTTCCTTCCTTCCTTCCCTCCCTCCTTCCTTGCTTCCTTCTTTCTTTACTTCCTTTTTTCCTTTCTTCTTTCCTTCTCTCCCTCCCTCTTTCCCATCCTTTCTTCCTTCCTCCCTTCATTTTTCCTTACTGTCTTACATAATCTGAAATTTAGAGGAAGCTTTACATTTGATTTACCTTCCAGCAGAGCCTGTAGAGTTATCAATGACCTTGTGTAGAATATTTTTGTAAACACAAAAAGGATGAGGAAGAAAAGATAAGCAGAAAGCCAAAATCTACACATTAGGCCTGTAGTTGTAATTGCGACTGGGGAAGGGAGGCAATCAGCTGGAATTCACAACTGAAGCTATGGATGAGCTTCCCATGGTTGGCCTTGGAGCTTCTTTTCCCATTGTAGGCACGTTTATATCTTAGGATAAGCAGTAGCAATCCCCTGTTAGTAATAGTTTATCTTTAAACTGTTTTTAAGGGCACAATGGGCTCATTTTTAAATTTTATTTCATGAGTGTGGTGGTGTTTCACCTGCATATATGTCCATGCACCACACCTGTGCCCAATGCTTGCAGAGGTCCTGCGATCCCCTGGAACTGGAGTTACAGATGTTTTTGTTTGTTTGTTTGTTTTGAGACAGGGTTTCTCTGTAGCTTTTGGAGCCTGTCCTGGAACCAGCTCTGGTAGACCAGGTTGGCCTCGAACTCACAGAGATCCACCTGCTTCTGCCTCCTGAGTGCTGGGACTAAAGATGTGTGCCACCACCGCCTGGCTTAAAGATGTTTTTGAGCTGCCATGTGGGTGCTGGGAACTGGAAAAGAGCAGCCAGTACTTAATCGGTTAGCCGTATCTCTGGCCTCACAGCCATTTACAGTCTTGATTTGTTTATCAGTGCTCTTCCATCTTTGTCAGAGGTGTGTGTGTGCGTGTGTGTGTGTGTGTGTGTGTGTGAGAGAGAGAGAGAGAGAGAGAGAGAGAGAGAGAGAGAGAGAGAGAGAGAAAATAATGTGATCAAGTATACAAGTGAAGGCACTGGCCCCAGATGGAAGCATGTGGAGTCTGTCCCTGACTGGAGGGCAGGCAGTGTGCACTAGCACAGATTCAATAGGCAGGCGACATGCTGGGCTTCAGGCAATACGCTGGGCTTTGTAGAAATGCCTTCTCATTGTTTTTCTTGTTTACTTGTCTGCTAGATCTGAGGATGGAACCAGAGTTCAGGAAATTTAAACAGAAGACAAGGAAAAGCCAGGCTTGGTGGCACATGAGGGAGGTGGAGGCAGTCAGGAGGGTCAAGAGTTCAAGATTGGTCTCCACTATATAGTGAGTTTGAGGTAAGCATAGTTACGGGAGACCCTGTCTTAAAAGAACAAACAAAACCAGAAAGAAGCTGGTCTGAATGGGCATCTATGAGAACAATTGGAGACTATGTTAAGGTGACTCAAATAAGGTGGACAAGTGACATGAAATGCCTTTTGGGGAAGAGAGGTCCTGAGCTTCAAATGACAATAGTACAGCTGCCCAGGCCCAGACCTGTAGGAGAGACCCAACCAATCACCTTGCTAGCAGGGGGCGGGGTTCCCCGAGGATATTTTTTACTTATAAAGATTGCGGGCGTGCTCCCAACCACCCGTTCTGCTTTCCTGTTCTCCACAGGAACCTGTGGTTCTGTAAGTCTATTTCCCCATTAAAGCTGTATATATTATTTTTTTTTTTTTTTTTTTTTTTCAATTAGATGAACATTTTATTTGGTTATTAATATTATATAACTATTAAATACTTTGGTTGACATCCAACAGCATTCAAAGCAGTTATTCTTTTTTTTTTTTTTTTTTTTTTTTTTTTTTAAATTTATTTATTTATTAAGGATTTCTGCTTCGTCCCCACAACCGCTTCCCATTTCCCTCCCCCTCCCCCGAACAATTCCCCCTCCCTCATCTGCTCGAAGAGCAATCAGGGTTCCCTGACCTGTGGGAAGCCCACCGGACAGAAATCTCAAGGTCCAAATCAGGAGCAGAAGGAGACGGAGCACGAGCAAGGAACTCAGGACCACGAGGGGTGCACCCACACACTAAGACAATGGGGATGTTCTATTGGGATCTCACCAAGGCCAGCTGGCCTAGGTCTGAAAAAACATGGGATAAATCCGGACTAGCTGAACATAGCGGACAATGAGGAATACTGAGAATTCAAGAACAATTGCAGTGGGTTTTTGATCCTACTGCACGTACTAGCTGTATATATTATTACAATCTGTCTGCATTCATTTATGCCGATACACAGACCCAGGGTCATGACTTGGCCTGCCCCATGATGATCTGCTGGAGCACGTGAAGGGACCTGACCCATAGACCCAAAGCTGCAGGATTTCCACAACACAGGACGCCAGCGGGATGGCCAGGAAGAGTCTTAGGGGGGGACCCAGCATTGAACGTGTGGTGGAGACCAGGGGCCTCGAGCCGGGCCAATGAGTCCTTGCAATGAACACTTGTAAGTGAGATGTATGGACCACGGAGCACACAACGTGACTTGTTGGGTCACACTGCAGCTTCCACGACAAGATTTTTAAATTCCTCCCCCATTATTTCTTTTTAATTCTCATTTTATTTTCTTTATTTTTTCTTTCAAATTTTGTTTTATTTGGGGGGGGGGGATTGCAGGGTGGAGGGCAGATGGGAAGGTATGAGAAATGAATGGGACCAAGATACAGGATGTGAAAAACATGCAGATCCAGAGGGATCACCTACAGGATACTGAGTCCTTGCAGAGTTGCTCCAGGAACAAGACTAGAGTGTGACAGTGGCCTTAGGATCACAAACAGGGCAAGAAGCCTGCTTAACATCTGATACAAAGGCAGTTATCTTTAGAAAGGGGGAGTCAGGAAGGTCTGGAGGCAGCCACGAGGAGCAAGGAGACAATTGTCCCACTGCAGGGTTGGGAGAGACACAGCTGCCTCTTGAGAAGAGGTAGAAGCAGTGTCCTAGATAAGACCTGGGTTTTCTTTACGGCAGGAAGACGGAGGGATGAGGTGTGTTGTCCTGATAGTGAGTTCCTGGAGGTTTCAAGGGATGGAAAGCATGAGAGATGGAGTCAGAAAATCAGATACATAGAGTCATTGAAGAAGGCATGCAAGGGACAGGGAACAATGGATACGAGAAGTCAATCTTCTTGCATGACCCAGGTGAAGGAGGGAAAGGGAAACAATGCAAACAGAAAACCATGGTCTCAGGCAGACACACGTGGCCAAACAATGACTACTTAAGGAAAAGGGTCATAGTGTGCCTGCTGGGGGAGTTCCGCGTCCTCTGTCTTTTCCAATTGGAAGTCAGGGAGATGTGTTGTTGAAACACTCGAAGCCGGTATCCCACAGTCCAGAGACAGTGTCACCATTTCTCCTGATGGTGAAAAGCACGTGAAGACACTCTGACTGAGGGGATGAGAGTTGTCACGTGGGGAGGGAAGGGAGGTGATGTTGGGACGGAGCACTGAAGGGCAGGGTGATTCTCCAGAGACCCGACTCACGTGGCACAGTTGTGAATTTAGGTTGATGCAGTGTCTTGAGGGTGGTGTTTGGTGGCATCTTCCCAAAGACCTTCAGTCTCACGGTTACTGTTTTGTGGTTGCAAGAGGGCTGCTCCACTCTGCAGTAAGTAGGTTGCAGCCAGGGGTCACACAGAAGGACACACAAGTAGGAAATGAGTCTATTGGGAAGAGGGGGTTCAGAGGGAGTGGGGCAGGAGTAGAGGGTGATGGGAAGGAGTGTTATAAAAATACATTATATATGCAGATGAAGTTATCAAAAAGTAAAAAGATCACTTTTGTAGCAGCTCGGTAGAATGACGCATGTCTATAATCCCAACATATGGTTGGCAGAGACAGAAGGATCACTGCAGAGCTTGAAGCCAGCCTGGGCTACAGAGTGAGAGCCTGTTTCAAACAAAACAAAGCAAATCTCTTGTTTAGTCAGGCCTGCTTTTTGTGTCTAAACTGCTTCCGTGAGAACCTGCCAGCTAGTGTAAGAGGCACGAAAGGCAGCTCCCAATGGCCATGGTTGTCCTCTCTGAGGCCATGCCAGATCAGCCAACCTCCCGACACTTGGAGAAGCCCACCCAACTCAGCAGACCCGCAACAACCACCACGGATGCATGAGAAATCGCAGTTCTTATACAGTACCGAAATCCTTGAAGGATTGTTCCTCAGCATTATTGTCGCCTCAGATAACTGACACAGTCTCCCAGGCTGCGCTCTGACACAAGCCTTACCCCTGTGCGCCCAGCTCATCTGGAGAGAGAACCTCTTCTCATCTGCAAACGCTCAGCACTCAGTAGAGCGCCTGCCCTACAGAGAGCATTAGGCAAAAGCCCGCGGAGAAGAGAATGAATGAGTGAACCTTTGTTCCACCTGAAGAAAGGAACTCACCGTTTCGTGTGCAACAGGTGCAATTTCCAAAGACCAAACAATGTAATCAAATGAATGTACTCAAGGGAAACCTGGTTCAATAAGATATGTGAAGCAACCATCGCAGATAAAGGACCTCACACTGCAAGCACAGGGGTTATGTTTCAAACAGTGGGCACTTCATTTTACATTTTATTACATCGTGCGGATCAATTTAAAGATAGCCTAAATCCTATAATACCATTTAAAGAACAGAGTGCAAACAAGTGGATATGACTCAGTCTAAATATCCTTACCATTTTATCTTTAGTACACACTGCCAAGTCATTGTGACGGCTGGCATTTCCTAAATAATATCAAGAGGCTTGCAACTTCTGGAAAGGGAGACATTATTTGCATTGATATAGAAAAAAAAAAGAGAAAGAGGAAAGACATTATCTAGTGGGGTGTGTGTGGTGGGGGGGTGAGTGTGCCAACATCGTGGATGTGTTAAAGTGTGTCCTCGGGGTTTTTAAGACTGTCCTGTACTTGCTTTGAAAGAACAGGAACGAATGAGCCACTGGATCAGCTTAGAGGTCAGGTTCAAGGTATGTAATATAAGAAGGATTTTGTCAAACATGCTTAACGATTCTAGCAAATAAACAAATTCTAAATGCTACTATATAAATGCTATGTTTATTTACTTTAAAAATTCTTAGGGAAGATGCTGATGAGCAAGGCGTTCTCCCGAGATTCTAGTGCTGGGTGCTGTCTTCTCAAAAGTCAGCTAGCCTTCAGTCTACAGAGGAATTACTTTTCTCTTGATATTTGAACTCGTTTTCTTTTGTTTTGCCTTTGAAACTTCCCTGTCCAGTTCTGTTAAGAAGAGCAAGCCAGGAGCATGAATTCGACGTAAGAATGAATGAGACTCCATGTAGCCAAAATTGGAATCGCCACTGGGGATAAATAAGTCTATCCAAGCTCCTTTCCCAAGAATAGCTCACCTGAGTTGTGGCAACATTTACCTTCTGGATGTGAGAGCATCATTTTCATACCCCTCTCGCTGGGTACCTATTACCACATCGGCGTCATGTTTCCATTATTTACAAATAGCTTGGAGGCAGGAAAGGTAACTGACCAAGTTCTCACGTCATCTTAACAAGCACATTTTCAATTGGTTTTTATTCCTTTTAAAACTAATTTTATTTTTATGTGTATGAGTGGGGGATGTAATTCATGTGCAACCATGTGTATGGCTTGGTACCCAGAGAGATCAGAACTGGGCTTTGGGTCCCCTGGAACTGGGACAGGTGTGAGCCACCATGTGGGTGCTGGGAACCAAACCTGGGTCCTCTGCCAAAGCAACAAATGCTCTTAACCAATTAACCACCAATTCAGCCCCAAGTCTTTTTCACACTGTGCCTCTCCCTACCCTTCTCCCATTGCATTTGATAAACTCTTATGTCTACATCTAAGCCCTGTTTAAACATCCCTTATCCACACTCTGTTGTCGCCTTCCCGTCTACACTGGCTAGTTCTATGTCAGCTTGACACAAGTCTTCTGAAAGAAGGGAACTCAGTTGAAAAATTCCTTCCAAAAGCTCAGACTGTAGGCCAGTCTGTAGGGCATTTTCTTAGTTAGGGATTGATGGGGGAGGGCCCAGCCAATTGCAGATGGAGCCACCCCTGGGCTGGTGGTCCTGGGTTCTATAAGAAAGCAGGCTGAGCAAGCCATGAGGAACAAGCCAGTAAGCAGCTCCCATCCACAGCCTCTACATCAGCTCCTGATTCCAGATTCCTGCCCTGCTTGAGTTTCTGTTTTAACTGCTTTCAGTGATGAACTGTTTTATGGAAGATGTTTCCTCCCCACGTTGCTTTTGGTCATGGTGTTTTCTCACAACAATAGAAACTTTAACTGATATACCACTCCATCCCTCTCTGCCCATCTCCCATACCAGCAATGGTGCAGAACCTTCTGTAAGCACATGCCTGTATTGCTTCCTTTTCACATCTCTAGCAACAAACAAAGGCTCTAGTATACAGTAGACACTTACTGTCGAAACATAACTCCAGGTCCTGGAGGTCCAACACCCTCTTCTGATCTCTTCAGGCAACTAGGCATATATCTGGTACATAGACATACATGCAGACAAAACACGCATAGACACATAAAATAAAATAAGTCATTAAACTTTTTAAAAAAGCTAAGAACAATATGCAAAAATTGTATTACGCTGGGTTCCTAGGCCATTATTCTGCATGTATAGAATGCACTTGTGTTAGTATTCAGGCATCGTACTGGCCTCAGTTGCAGCGACTAAGATGCCTGAATACTAACACAAAAGAATTGTGATGTGATTTTCATGGGGGTGGGGATTGCATTGAATCCATAGATTGCTTTTGGTAAGATTGCCATTTTTACTATGTTGATTCTACTTATCCAAGAGCATGGAAGAACTTGCCATTTTCTGAATCCTTTTTCAATTTCTTTCTTTAAATACTTAAAGTTCTTGTCATACAGGTCTTTCATGTCTTTCACTTGTTTTGTTAGTTATCCCAAGATATTTTATTTTATTTGTGGCTATTGTAAAGGGTGATGTTTCTCTGATTTCTAAGCACATTTATCATTTGTATATAGAAGGGATACTTTTTTTTTTAGTTAATCGTGTGTCTTCACATTACTGAAGCTATTTATCAGCTATAGGAGTTCCCTGGTAGAGTTTTTGGGGTCACTTATGTATACTATCATATCATCTACAAATAGTGAAAGTTGGACTTCTTCCTTTCCAATTTATACCCCCTTAATCTCCTTTCATTGTCTTATTGTTCTAGCTAGAACTTCAAGTACTATATTGAATAGATATGGAGAGAGTGGACAGCCTTTTCTTGTTCCTGGTTTTAGTGGAAATACTTTGAGTTTTTTCCATTTAGTCTGATGTTGACTGTTGGCTTGCTGTATATTGCCTTTATTATGTGTAGGTATGTTCCTTGTATATCTGATCTCTCCAAGACCTTTATCTTGAAGGGGGGTTGGATTTCGTTGAAGGCTTTTTCAGCACTTAATGAGATGACCATATGTTTTTTCTTTCAGTTTATTTATATCATAGAGTACATTGACGGATTTTCGTATATTAAACCATCCCTGTCTTTGTGGTATGATTGTGCGTCCTTTGGTATATGCCCAGAAGTAGTATTGCTGGGTCTTGAGGTAGGTTGATTCCCAGTTTTCTGAGAAACATCCACACTGATTTCCAAAGTGGCTGTACAAGTTTGCATTCTCACCAGCAGTGGAGGAGTGTTCTCCTTACTCCACTTCCTCTCCAGCATAAATTGTCATTAGTGTTTTTGATTTTAGCCATTCTGAGGGGTGTAAGATGATATCTCAGAGTCATTTTGATTGCATTTCCCTGATGTTGAGCAATTACTTAAATGTCTTTTGGCCGGTGCAAGGTTCTTCTGTTGAGAATCCTGTTTAGATCTGTACCCTATTTTTTAATTGGATTATTTGGTATTTTGATGTCTAGTTTCTCAAGTTCTTTATATATTTTGGAGATCAGCCCTCTGTCTGATGTGGGGTTGGTGAAGATCTTTTTCCATTCTGAAAACTACCATTTTGTCTTATTGATCATATTCTTTGCCTTACAGAAGCTTCTCAGTTTCAGGAGGTCCCCATTTATTAACCGTTGCTCTCAGTGTCTGTGCTACTGGTGTTATATTTAGGAAGTGGTCTTCTGTACCCATGCGTTCAAGGCTACTTTCCTGCTTTCTCTTTTATCAGGTTCATTGTAACTGGATTTATATTGAGGTCTTCGGTCCATTTGGACTTGAGTTTTGTGCATGGGATAGATATGGATCTATTTGCAGTCTTCTACTTTGACTGATGAATCTATTTTCTCTATCGTATCTTTACTGTCTGAGATTCTCTCTTCCATCTCTTGCATTCTGTTGGTTATGCTTGCATCCATAGTTCCTGTTCATTTACCCAGATTTTCATTTTTGATTTCCAAAATTCTCTCAGTTTGTGTTTTTTTTTATCACCTCTATTTCAATTTTCAAATCTTGAACTGTTTCCTTCACTTGTGTGATTATTTTTTCTTGGTTTTCTTGACTTCCTTTAATTTATTGATTTCTTCCTGTTTTCTGTTTGTCTTTTCCTTCATTTCTTTAAGGGAACTTTTCATCTCCTCTCCAAGGGGTTCTATCATCTTCTTATGTTATTTTTATGATTGTTTTCTTCTGTTTCATCTGTGTTGGGATGTTCAGGTCTTGCTGTTGTGGAACCAGTAGTTTCTGGTGATGCCATATTGTTCTTTCTGTTGTTGAGTGTGTTCTTACTCTGTTATCTACCCATCTCTTCCTCCAACCATAGTAGCTGGACCTGTGGCTCTGGTGGTTGCTCTTCCTCCAGGTGCATGTGTGGCTGTGACTCTGGAGGTATCCATGCTGCAGGGGATGGTGGAGGTGGGCGGGAAGGATGCTGCTGCCTGGTCACTGAGGGGTGCGGTAGGTGCGGGTGGGGCACAGATTGTTTCCCAGGGCTAGGGCTCAGAGAGCAGAGCTGTCCAGCCCAGACATCTCTTCCTCCAGGAGTAGGTGTGGCCTGTGGCTCTGGTGGTTGCCTATGCAGCAGGGGATGGCGGAGTGGTGACTTCCTGCCATTTTTTAAACTATAACACTTTGAGTATGTTTTCATCCGCATCCCGTTACTCTCCTTGCTCCTGTTTGCCAGTTGTCATTGTTCCCCAGTTGTCATTGTTCCCCAGTTGTCATTGTTCCCCAGTTGTCATTGTTCCCCAGTTGTCATTGTTCCCCTAGACATGTACATCTTCTACTTTCATATCATCTGTATATTCATGATTTTGCATATGCATATAAAGTCTAGTACCTACACACATGAGAGAGAAAATGAGGCATTTGTCTTTTTGAGTCAGACTTAATCTGATTGCATATTTCCCTGAAAATTCTATGTGACTGCATTTTCCTCATCTGTTTTTCCGACGTCCTAGGTTGGAGTCTTAACTCCAATATTGTGAGCACTGCTACAGCAAACATCAATGTGCTGGCATCTCTGTGGTAAGTTGGTGTGGATTCTTTTAGGTAAATACCCAGGAGTCTAC